CCCTCCGAGGGCGGGGGCGGGGCGGGGAGCTGTTGCTAACCCCTCTTGAGACCCCGCGAGCTCCCCACCCGCACAGCATGACTCAGTGGCGGCCTTTAAGAGGAGAATTTGATTGATGACGTGGACAATTAGACTTGTGAACGTGGCATCCGCGTCGATGGCAATGGCAAGAAAGGAAGTGAGAAAATCTATTTTTGTACACTCCCATCAATGGGGCGGCAGGCCGCGGGGGTGCGCGGGGGAGAGGTGCGCCCCCCGCCACTCGGCCACGTGTGCCCCGGGCTCCCTCGCAAGACCCGAGGCCCCGTGGCCCCTGCAGGGCCGTCACGCGCCTCTCCTGGCCCTGCCACGAGGCCTCGGCCGCCACCTTCCCTTCTCCGCTCCCTCCGCCGAGCGCTGGGCCACGGCCACTTCAGCCTGAAGAGGCTTCTTTGTGATTGAACTTGAAACCAAGCCCTCTGTGTCGTGCTCGCGCTGTGTTCTCGAGCCTAAATGTACCCGGGCGCCTCGCCTTTCCCTCCATCCCCTGCCCCCGGGGCCCCCTCCCCTCCACAGGAAAAAAGAGAATTTCTCTCTTCAAAGATGAACTTCAGCTTGGGGCAAGAATGGGAATCCGGGCTGCTGGGCGCCTCTTTGGTGTTTGCCCTCACGGCCCCCCCCACGGAAGGGAGGGCAGGGTCCTGGCGGTGCCCTTGGGGTCTTCCACTGATTCCTGCGCCACCCTGCTCGCTCTTGCCACAGCCCTTAGCTGAGCAGACAGCCCAGGGCACCGACTTCGGGTCCCAGCTCCGCTCCCCATTAGCTGTACACGCGTCCCTGCGTCTTCGGGCCTCCCTGCCCTGACCCAGCCCAGCCTGGAGGAGGATCCGATAAGACGGCCTCTGCTGGGGAGCTCAGCCAGAATCGAATTCCAAGGGGACAGACAGGGAGAGGCAGAAAAGGCAGGGCCCGCTTGCCTGTAACCCCCCTCACTCCTGGGCTGTGTGTGTGGTGGGCGGGGGGTAGTGGGGAGATCCCATTCCAGTTGCGAGGCTCCAACCAGGAGAGCTAGAGCTCTCTGGGAAGAGCTCCATCTTGGGCAGGGCTGGGGGAAGCTGTGTCCTCTTTCGGAGGGAGGAGGGAGAAGGTGTGGTGTTTGCAAGAGGGAGGAAGAAGAGAGAACAAATGGCACCTGGGAGTTTTTTGCCGCGCCTCAGTTTCCCCAACTGTGTAACATCCCACTAAGACTGGACCAGTTGGGGAGGCAGAGACTTCCAGAAACCACAAAGCCTCAGGTTGTGGAGATTCTCAGCTGTGGGGGGGGGGTTGCAGAGCAGAGGTCAAGATGGGGTGAGGGCGAACTCCACCCCGCTCCCCCCCAAGCTGCCTTGTGCCAGTCGTGCACGCCCGGGACTAGCTGGTCTCGGAGGGAACCCTGCTAGGCTTCCTTGATCAGCGGTTTTGCCTTTAATCAAGCAGTCTGGTGCAGGGGGGCGGGGGGATGAGGAGGGAATCGTCTGGAGGTAACATTTCTTTGGTTCCCTCAGAAAACTTTCGCCCCTCACTGGCTCCCTTGCTGCCCGCTGGAGGGAGGTCTCTGGGCAGAAAGAGCAGAGGACCCAGCAGGCCACTCAGCAGGCATCGGGAAGGAGCCTGGCCTCAAGCCCTGGCCCTGAGTTACCACCCAGCCCCACGGGGGGCAGGCTTTGTCCCCGATCCCCGTGTAGACCACGGTGGAGCCCTGCTCTGCTGACCGGTGGGCCGCGCATTTCCCGAGGGTGGGGCCTGCTTGCCTTCTCTGTCATCCCCCTTTTTATTCTATTTTATTTATTTATTTTTTTTTTGGAGGAGAGGGGAGGGCGGGGAGGGGGCACAGCTAGAGGAGAAGGTCGTCCTGACTCCTCCCGTCTGCTTGCAAACAGCAGGCGGTGCTGACTTCTCCCCAAGGGACCTGCTTGGCATTTTCAGACTTTCTATGCAGCCTTGAAGCCTGTGACAGGCACCAGCGTCCCCTCTCCCCACCGCCCCTAAGCTACCCTTTTTCACTGTCTGCCTGCTGAAAAGAAATCTCCAGTCTCCTGTATTTACAAACACTTCCTCCTTGAGATGGACAGAAACCAACAGAAAGCCCCAGGCCCAGCAGCGGCCCTGCAGGAGGCTCTCAAGAGGGCAAGGTCAGAATCCAACCCCCCGCGCCCCCCCCCCCCCCCGGGGCTCTCTAGCCTACTGGGGTGGAGGCCCAATGGCAGCTGTTGGAGGAAGGGCAGGAAGGCGCCAGGCCTTGTAAGTATAGTGGATTTTTACTTAGGAAAACCCAAGTCCCCTTTGGGGACAGGTGTGGCTTCCCTGTTTATAGACAAGGAAACTGGGCTCTGAGGGGCAAGTGACTGGCCCAGGGCCCTCAGCAGGCTGGGGATGGAGCCGGGATTAGCGAGCAGGTGCCAGCCAGCCAAGACACTGCCCTTTCAGCCTAAGCCCCTGACATTTGGACACGGATGCCCTTGGGTGAGACTGCCTTCCTCAGGCCTCCCTCCCTTTCCAGAACTGGGGAGGGCAGCAGTGGGAAGGGACTGCGATGGGAAAGGGAGGGGTCGAGGTGAGGGTGCACTTGAGGGCCTCAGCAGGGCGCTCCGCACAGTCCACAGGGCGGCACCTCGTGACTTGGTCTGGGAGGAGGTCCTTGTCCCAGGCCATGCAGCCCAGAGATCCCCCGCCCCTCCTTCAAGTCTGGCGGGGAACCCAGCCCTTCCCAATCTGCCCGCTGTGTAGGATAATTTTGGAGGCTGAGGTCAGGGTCCTTGGAGGGAGGAAAGGAGGGGGTCAGGGAAGCTGGGGCGATCTCCATGCCGTGGACAGTTAAACCTCTAGGACTGGCCTACCCAGCACGCCTGTTGGAACCCCCCGGGGCCTTGGGCAAAAGACCTTCCAGCTCAGAACTCCTGTTTCTTCATTCGAGAAGAGTTCCTGGAAGAGACTGGGGTAACGGAGAGGAAGGGGCACAGGGTGGGTGACTGCTCCCTCCAGCCTGTCGCTCAAGCGAGTCCCAACCTCACCCCGACCCCTTCTGGGTCTCCTGCACCCAACACCTAGGAAGAGGCGCCTCCCGAAGCGGACAGAGGGTGGGGGCTTCCCTCCTCCGTCCTCTGTGGAGTCTGCCCAGCGGGGCTCCAGGGTCTGCACCAGGGCGTGTGCCCTCCCACAGCTGTCCCACTTCGGGAGCACAGACTTAGGGCCTTAGGGCCCGTGGGCACATATCCCGTGAGCCCAGGGACTCCCGGTGGTCTCTCTTCCCACTGCTGTCCTGAAATTGGAGAGTATGTGCGCAAACCTGCCAGGGCCCCGGAGACAGTCTGAAGGCCAAGGCCCCCCACCCCACGATCCAAGTGGCAGAGAGCACGCACCCAGCTCACGGTGATGACAGGGAGGCTATAAAGGGGATCTGTTCCCAAACTAATCTATGCCCATGAAGCCCATATAAACGACCCATCTAAAGGTCATGACCTCCTGGGACCCTTCCCCAGCAAGTTAAAGACCTTTGATACCCTTCTGCCACCCCCCCACCCCACCTACCCTTCCCTATTCCTCCTCTCCACCCCAGCATCCTGATCAGGACAGGGCCTGGAGATCTGCCGGGAGAGTCTCTAAACTCAGGCTGGGGGCTCTTCCCCAGAAGCTCTTGGGAGGGGAGGATCTCTGGCAAGGTCAGCATCCCCACCCCCACACCCCCCTCGTGACTCTTCTGGAGGCCTCCCAGTGGGTCTGGAATATGTGCCGAGGGCTTGGTGTGCAGCTGCGTGAGTGTGAGCGGACTTGTGAGCTTGCCCACATGTGTCCCTGCGTGTTTGCGTGTGTGCTGGGCGGCAGTGCCTCCGTGTTTTGATGAGTGTGCCACCGAGAGCCTGTGACTTGTGAGTCTGGGGTGCTTGTGAATATCACGTCTGGGGGGGGCCCTACACCTGCATGCTGGAGTCTGTGGTCTCTGTGTCTGCGTGGCTGAGGGCCTGACCGCTCTGCCTGCGTCTGCCTGCGTGGGAGTGGGGGTCTGCGTGTTTACCAGTGAATGCGTCTGTTCAGGTGTGCACGTGGCTCTGCGCGTGTCTCTGTGTGGCCCAGACGGGTGGGCCCGCAGTGAAGGAGGCCCAGGGTTTCATAACTGTGTGTCCCCCCCACCTCTCTGCGTGCCCATGCCTGAGCCTGTGACGCTCCCGACTATTTCCATAACCTGCGATTGCGTTGCAGTGTGTGCTGGTGGTGTAGGGTGTGTCTGGCTTGTGGTGTGTGTGTGTGTGTACGTGTGTGTGTGTGTCTGCATTTTCCTGCGTCGATCCGGCTAGGGGTAGGGGAGTGATCAGGCTTCTCCTCTGTGTTTTCCTGAGTGCGCATGTGGCGCGAGCCTGTTCCTCGTCTCTAGAGTGTGCGTTTGTGTCTTCCTGGCCGTGTGAACCATGGCATGCGTGCTCGGGACCTTGGCGCTCAGTGTTTTGGTGCTTCTCTGCGTGTTTCTGTATTCCGAGCGCGTGCTGGCCCCTTCCTGGGGTCTGCGGCCCAGCCCCGGGTCGGTCCCTGCCCCTGGTGCTAAGCGGGCCCGTGTGTGTGCGCCCGCGGGCCGTCCTGTGTACAGATCGTGTGCCCAACGTGCGCGGGGTACCTGTGCCCGTCTAGCCAAGAGCGCTCGGCGCGCGCGAGCCGCTTTCCGGGACGCCGCAGTGGTGGGGGGCGGCCCCGCGAGGGGCGGGGGTCACCGGGACTGGCCGGCGCCGGCCCCGTGCGCGCGGAGGCGGGGGCGGGGGGCGGGGGCCGCGGGGGGGCGGCGGTACGAAAAGGGCGGCGCGCGCGGCGGCAGAGGCAGCTCGGCGGCGGCGGCGGCGGAGAGCGCAGCGCGCAGCCCGGTGCAGCCCTGGCTTTCCCCTCGCCGCGCGCCCGCGCCCCCTTCCGCGTCCGCAACCAGAAGCCCAGCGCGGCGCCCGGAGCCGGACCCGCGCCCGCGCCGCTCCCGGGACCGCGACCCCGGCCGCCCCGCGATGACCGCGACCGCAGCCCTCCTGCCCGTCCTCTTGCTCCTGCTGGCCTTCGGCCACAGTGTCCATGGTGAGCGCACCCCCCCCGCCCGGCGGCCTGGCTCGCGCCCCCTCTGGGGAAGCCTGCGACGCCCCCCGCCCAGCCGCCGGGTGCCCCGCGCGCCCCGTCCCATGCGCCCCAACTCACGCCCGTCCCGCCTAACCCTAAGCCCCGCACGCTGTTGCCTCGCCCTCCCCGCCACCCTCGCATGCCAAAGCCCCGGCCCTGGGGTCCCGGGGAGGGGTGGGGGCAGGGGAAGTGTGGGACCCCCCCCCAGTCCCTTCCCGCCCCGCAGAAGTGGCGCTCGCAGGGGTGTCGGTGCGCGGAGAGAGGAGGTATGGAGAAACGAGGTGATGCTCGGGAGCCCTGTGTGGAAATGCTCTGGGGTGCAACTTTGGGGTGTCGCTGCGTGCGCGTTCAGGAACAGGTCTGTGGGGGCAGCGGGGGGTGGCTTTGCCGTCGCAGCCCCGAATTCCCAACGAGGAGCCCCGCGCGAGCCCCTCCTGCGTGGCGTTTCTCTCGGTGAGGGGCTGCGACACTTCTGTCTGCAGCGGCCATCTGTCTCTGACAGTGAGAGAGTTGCCCCTTCCCGCAGTGCCCCCCGCCCCCACTGCACCAGCGCTGGTGCGGGGGCTGTCTGGAAAGCTGGGGAGCTAGTTGGAGTGAATGCACACAGTAGGCACGGAGGAAAGTGTCCGCGTCTCTAAACAGTGTCAGAATTGCAGAATCTGTTTTGCAGAAAACCTTGCGTCTTTCTAATAGGAAGAGTATGGGGTGGGAGAAATTGGGGAATTTGACCTGCGCACCTGGTTTAACGGGGATTAACCTTTAAGAAAAATCCTGAAGCCTTACCTGCGAGGCTGCCAGGTGAAACCGTCTGGCCTTTTCCGAAGCTGAATGCCTCCAAACCTGCTCCCCATTTTAGGCTCACTTTGCGAAAGTGAGGGCTTGGCCGTGGGCCCAGGGGTCAGAATCTTTCCATTCACTGTCTCCATATCCCCGCTTTTAGCATTTGAGGTTTCATGTTCTGGGGGGGTGGGGTGGAGTTAGGTGTCTAAGCTGCTCCTAGGAACTAGACGGTTTACTGTGGTCACTTGACAACCAGGAACATGGCAGAGATGTTTTTTCCCCCTGAGTGGGCTGATGTGAGATGCCTACTGTGTGCCAGGCTGCTAGGACCGGAGAGGGTGTTTGACTTCCCCCCAGGGTGACAGCCGTGGGCTGCTGGGGAGAAGACAGGCTTTGCCTTGGCCTCTGCGGCCTCTTGGGGTGAATGGTGTAACGTTTCTTGTGCCTCAGGAGCTGAATGCTTCCCGGCCTGCCACCCCCAAAATGGATTCTGCGAGGATGACAATGTTTGCAGGTAATGGGGTGGCTCTCCTGACGCAGATCGTAGGTGGTCAGGGCAGAATCCTGGGGAGTCGGGGTGTCAGGCAGGAAGAGGGGGGCTTGGTTGCTGGGTTGCGGCAAAGTGCTTCCTCGCCCTCGCAGGAAACTGGTGGGGGGGGGTGAGGGGGAGAAAAGAGGGAGAAGAGGGCAGGGGGCAGGGGACAGCCATGACTCCCTTCTGCTGACTCAGAAGTGGGGGTGTTGGGAGAGCCCCTCGCAGAGTGAGACCAGTGCAGGCCACTGCGGCAAGATGCAGTGCTCCCCCCCCAGCCCCCGGGCTCTCAGGGACCCCGGAGTCCTGTTCAGGTGACTGGTGTTTGCTTCCTGGGACCTGCTGGCATGGTACCATGCAGATACCCCCAAGGGATCTTGGCTCCACAGAAGGCAGACTGAGCTCCCCCTGCATTCCTGCTCCCCCATATGTCCCCATCTTTCTCCCTTCCCCACCCCTACAGGTGCCAGCCTGGTTGGCAGGGTCCCCTGTGTGACCAGTGCGTGACCTTTCCCGGCTGTGTTAACGGACTGTGCGTGGAACCCTGGCAGTGCATTTGTGACGACGGCTGGGACGGGAACCTCTGCGACATAGGTTGGCGCCCCACCCCATCCCTGCCCTGGGCGCCCAGCCACCTCCTCCCAGCCCGTGGCAGCCTCCCCTCCCCCTCCTGCCTCATTCCCACAGCCCAGGGCTCTGTATGGTAATGATCTGTTAATATACTTCCCGCTGGTGCCCAGAGCCTCCTCACAGGTGGACCTAGATTTGCTCCCCTCTGCTCCCCCAGCACCCAGAGATGGCCCTCTGGGGGGGGCCCGGCAGGGAGCTGCCTGTTGAATAAAGAGGCACGACATTAAGCACACGCCACACAAAGCTGAAAGGGTAGAGGCCTGGGTATCCTCTGGGGGTCACTAAAGCTCCGGCGGGGTAGGGACTGGGGGTAGGGGGGTCACAGAGCCAAGCCTCCAGGAAATTCACACAGGAGGCTGCAAAAACACGTGAACAAACAAACGAAGGGGTGGGGGGGTGGGGGTGGGGAGCAGGCGCTGAGTCAGGGCCTGCCGGCAGGGCAGGGCTGGTGTGGTCCGTGGGTCAGGTGTAGGGGAGGCTGGGGGTCGGCAAGGCTGAGATGTGGTCAGAGTACAGATCGGTGTTATCGGTTGATTTCATTAATTTATGTGATCTTTGTCCTTCATTACCCCAAGCAAATTGAGAGTTGGCGGTCACTGCATTTTTAGGCTACAAAATGTCCATTAAAGGCCATTCTCATTTGGTAGGACCTGCCCGGAAGCCTGGGCAAGCGGGAGTCCTCGAAAAAAGTCCCAGCAGCGTAGGGCAGCCGCCACAGGGCCTCTGTCCTTTGGTCGGTCCTCAACCTTAGCAGGGCACGAGGGGTACCGATAGGGAAATCGAGGCTGGAGGAAGTCAAAGGCTGCACTTAGGGACACAGAAGAAGGTGTTGGGAGAAAAGCCAACTAAAATCCCTTCTCCTAGCCCCAGAACTGGGGTAAATCTCATCGGGGGTCATTCGTAATCCCCACCCTTAAGGACCATGCAAGAGCGTGTTGTGACCACCCACCCCTGCCCCCCATCACCAGGGCAGCAGGCTTTCCTAATCAAGCCCCTCCCAGCACAACGTTGTCTCAGGTCCTTAAAGGCCCCACAGGTGACTCATGCTGGGATCAGCAGCAGCCTTGCTGCCCCTCCGCCCCCCACCCTTGGAGCTGCTTTGGGACCCACAGGATCCCAGAAAAGCTACCTCTTGAGGTTGAGACTTTAAGCCTGGAGCCCACCCTCCTTGGTGTCTGGTTCAGGATTGCCCCCTCCCTGCCCATGGAGTTTTCTAGACAAAACGTTCCCTCCTCCCTGGGTTGACAAAGCCTCTCAGCCTGGGACTCTGGGTCCAGAAGAAACAGCCCTCCGGGTAATTAGCAGCTCTCTCCCTTTCTCCGGGTCTCTGAGGGTGTCCGGGTCGCAGCTGCCGCCCTGGCAGAAACCGGCAGAGACCCCGGCGGCTTGCTCCCCTGCCGCTGCTTAATCTACCCTACTTTGCGGCTGGAGGCCCAGGAGTTGGGAAGAGTAGGGTTGTCCTCTGGACAAAGCGGGGGGTGGTCTCCGGCTCCTGAGCTCCAGTCTGAGATTCCCAGTAAAGGGGTTGCTGAAAGCCAGCACTGGGAGCCCACTGCCAAGGCTCCTCCAGCGAGCCGGCTGGCACCTTTCCGTTATGGTAACAATAAATTCTCTTGATGTCCCCTTACACCAAGCCAGGCTCCCGGGGAATGCCTTGTGGGCTCTGGACAGGCCGTCAGCATGACGTTCCGGCTCTTCCCTGTTGACGGATTGCCACCTTCCCTCCACGAGGGTGCAGGGCTCCTTAAAAAAGAGGAGGGGGAAAATCCGGACACGTGTGGCCTCAGCACTGTGGACCCCCACCTGCTCTGCCTTAACTTACTGCCTTTGTATTTGGCAGGTGCCCCAGGGCAGCTCAAACAAACATAGGAAACCAAAGCTAAAAGCCCCCCCCACCCCGTACCTCCCCCAGGCCCACCAGGGAGAGCCCCTCCTTTTGTCAGTGGAGAAAGTGAGGCACAGAGTGGGGAGGAGATGAACCCTGAGGCTGGTCTTCGAAAAGGTCCCTCCCCACCCTGCCTGGGGGCTGGGGTCTGCACTAGCAGAGAGCCCCTGACCCAGGCCCCTTTGTTCTGCGGTCCCTGGCTCACCAGGCCCCACATAATGAAGGGTGCGTGACGGGAGGTGTAAAAAGGCCGCAGAAATGTAGCAGTGCTCATGGAAACCCGCACGGACGGGAGAGCACTCAGACACTTCTAATTTCACTGCCTTCAAAAGATACAGCCTTTTCATCGGGAGCCCCTCCGCTCTCCCAAGCGCAGAAAGAGCGACCACCAGGAGGTGGAGGCATTGCTGGGGCTAAATCAGGTTTCTTGATTCCCAGCAGGAGTCTTCCCCACCCCCCACCCCGTCTCCGTCCCCCACCACCCCGTATCCCCCCCGCAACGGCCCTCAGTGATGGTGGGGTGTGAAGGGCAGCTGGTGTTTCTAACAGCTGTGGCACTCTCGCCCTGAATGGCAGGGACCAACACCCCCCCCCCCAACAAGAGAAGCTGGACATGAAAATTTGTCTGGGGAGGCAGGCCCTGGGGAGCCTTGGCCTGGCACACATCCTGCTGTGCGGGGAGGGAAGGGGTCTGCAGTGAAAGTCATGCGGCTGGACCAGAGAGGTGACCTGGTGCCAGGAAAAGGGACAGCTGTCCTGGGTTGAGGAGCAGTGAGCAGCCGTGACTTTCTGTCCCCGTGACCTACACCAAGGGAGCCCCTTCATCTCCCTGAACTGCTTAAACCACTGCAGAGTTTCGGGGGGGTCACTACACCCTCTTCCTCGGGACCTCATTTGGTGACCATTGGTGGTGGCCACAAACACAAACACCGAGGCAGCTCACGTCAGGTCCCCCCACCCTCGTTGACCAGCCAGAGGGCTCTGTCCTTCCCCCCTCAACCCAGAAAGCTCTCCTTCCAGCCTGTCCCCCTCTCCCTCCCTGGAGGAGGGGGTGACAAAGTCTGCTTTTCCCTCCCCACCGCAGATGTGCGGGCTTGTGCCTCGACCCCCTGCGCCAACAATGGAACCTGTGCGAACCTCGATTCCGGCCAGTACGAGTGCTCCTGTGCCCCTGGATTCTCGGGAAAGGACTGTCAGAAGAAGGACGGGCCCTGTGTGATCAATGGGTAAATATTCTTTCCGACTCTGTGATCTGATGAATGCTGCTTTGATTCCCGCTTCACACCCCTAAAGACCCTTTCAGCCCAGCCCGGTTGGACCTGTCGCCTGACAAAGAAGGAGTAAGTGCCTGTCCTGCAGCCCCGCGGGAGGCCGTCCAGGATCCGGGTACTTATGGGGGAGTGTGTCATTTCCATCATTGCCCAAGTGACCCTGAAGGTGATTTCGTATTCCTTCCATGCCCCCAAGTCCCGATGCGCGTGCGTGACGGCCGCCGGCTGGAGCAGGGAGCCGCACGGTGTTGTAAGGGCAACCCCTGGGGGGCCGAGACTTTTCGTGAAACCCACTCACTGCATTTTAGGGGGTGGTTTTGGGGGGAACTGACAGACTCTGCAGCTGAGTTTTCGGGGCTGTCTTGGGGGCACCTGCTAGGCAAAGGAGAGAGGGGTCTTTGCCCAGTGGGGTTGGCGGGGGTGAGGGCTGGAGGGGGTGTTCAGCTCTCAGCTGCCTTCGGTGGGGCTGGGGCTCTGGGACTTCTGAACAGTGGGCACCACTGACAAGAAGGGCCGCTTGCTTTCTAGTCCCCAAGCCATTTCCTGCCCTTATCTGTTTAGCTGCACGGAGCCCACCCAGCCGTCTGCTGGGGCTTAGGCGGAGCCGGTCTCGGGCCAGGAGCTGGGGGGGTGGGGGAGACAGCCACTACCAGGCAGAAGCAGCTTATCTTGACCTGACATTCCAGGGGGCTGTGGAGGACCCCGGAGCCGGCAGAGGCCACAAACAGGCATTTGTGCAGCCTGTAAAGATCAGTGTTCAGAGGGGGTCAGAGGAGAGGGGGTCACACCCAAAGTCCGCGTCTGCTTATTTGTGGGATGGGAAAATACGGAGCGAAACCTTTAAAATATTTTGCTTTTCTCCCCAACCAACTTGAACCAGTCTGTCAAAATAGAACCCAGGGTCCTTGAAGTTCCTTCAGAGCCTAGCTCCCGTACAGACCCTCCCCCTGAAGTGACAATGCTGATTTCTCGTGCTTACAGCTCCTTTCTTCCCCCGGTTTTGGTATTTATCAGATGACAAAGGGTCTGCTCCTTTAAAAGCACTTAAATTAAATGCTCCTGTGCTCCGCTCTGAGCAAACAGCCCCGGTCTGGTCTGCAGGCCGCACTTGGGTGAATGACCCACTATTAAACCACCGGGCACAGACGCCGGCTGGGCCCGCAGCAGACCGAGGCTTTCTTTCACTCCGAGTGTCCCCAAGGGCTTCCCGTACAATAGTCTGCAGGCTCTCTCCGCAGAAAACGACAATAGGATCCCAGTCCGGGTGGTGGTGTGGCTCGGGGAGCGGGTGGAGAGTGCAGGGGCCTAGGCCCCCCCTCACCCCCACTCTGCCCAGCGGCCCAGGGATGGAGCTAAGGGAGGGGGCTCGCTCCAGCCCTGGGTCATCACTAACTTTGCCTCTGGGCCTCGGTTTCCCCACCTGTGCAGTGACTAACCGTCAGGCTTCTGGTTGGAGAGAGGACCTAAGAGGTGGGAGAGGAGACCGTCATCGGCCGGGGCGGTCAGGCGCCTCCCGGGCTGGCAGCTGGAGGGAGGGTGAGGCACGCACCTATGCGTGTCCGGCTCGGACTGCCCGGGAGCCCCTCTCGGGCAGACATGACAGCGCCTGGCGTCCCCCTGGCCGGCCCCTGGAACCACTGTCCTAGTCCAGCCCCCGAAGGCCCTTTACCGTGTCCCCTGTTGTGTTGCAGCTCCCCCTGTCAGCACGGAGGCACCTGTGTGGATGACGAGGGCCGGGCCTCCCATGCCTCCTGCCTGTGCCCCCCTGGCTTCTCTGGCAATTTCTGCGAGATCGTGGCCAACAGCTGCACCCCCAACCCGTGCGAGAACCAGGGCATCTGCACCGACATCGGGGGCGACTTCCGCTGCCGATGCCCCGCCGGCTTCGTGGACAAGACCTGCAGCCGTCCCGTGGGGAACTGCGCCTCCGACCCGTGCCTCAACGGGGGCACCTGCTTGTGGCACACCCAGGTGAGGTACGAGTGTGTGTGCAAGCCCGGGTTCACGGGCCCCCTCTGTGGCCGGAAGCGCGCCCCGAGCCCCCAGCAGGTCACCCGTCTGCCCAGCGGGTACGGGCTCACCTACCGCCTGACCCCCGGGGTGCACGAGCTGCCGGTGCCCCAGCCCGAGCACCGCATCCTCAAGGTGTCCATGAAGGAGCTCAACAAGAACACCCCCCTCCTCTCCGAGGGCCAGGCCATCTGCTTCACCATCCTGGGCGTGCTGACCAGCCTGGTGGTGCTGGGCACCGTGGGCATCGTCTTCCTCAACAAGTGCGAGGCCTGGGTGTCCAACCTGCGCTACAGCCGGAGGCTGCGGCAAAAGAAGAACCTGCTGCTTCGTTACAACAGCGGCGAGGACCTCGCGGTCAACATCATCTTCCCCGAGAAGATCGACATGGCCACCTTCACCAAGGAGGCCGGCGAAGACGACATCTAAGCGGCGTTCCCGCCGGCCCCTCTCTGTTCTCGGGGTCCCGCAGAGCTCACTCTACGCGGTCTGTTCTCCTCTTTGTGGTGGAATTTGCTCTATTTTGTGTCGAATCTGGTGAACGCTACGCTTGCCTGTCTTACCTTTGTGTTGCTCTGTGACAAATGCCGCGCGCCCAGAGCATCCTCTTTCTCTCTCTTAATGCATGATCGAAAAACAATAATAAGAATTTCATCTTTAAACGAGTAAAAGATATAAGTATGTTATTCTAAACTTTAACTTAAAATCAAAAAGACCAAAAAAAAACAAGGCAACGAAGCCGGGACTCGGCGCCGACACCCCTCCCCGAAGGGGTCTCGGCCACGGTCCTCGTGAAACCGTTACGAGTGCTGTGCATGACCACCCACTGTGACAAAGGCGAAAAATCTCTTCGTTCGTTAGTCCTCACACGCCACGTCCAACGCGCACTCACATCAAGTCCAACACTGCAACCTTTAGATCTTTCCGATTGAGTTGAGATTTCGCAGAGTGCAGCGGCCGTGTGTCAGGCAGAGAGAGCGCCCCGGGTTGGCTGCTGGGGGGGGCCGGGACCTGGTCCCAGCCCTGCCACTGACTCGCTGTGTGATCCTTGGCGAGCCCCCCCGCCCGTCCCCACCCCGGGCCCACCTCTTCCCTCCCCCGCCCCTCGAGGGAGGGGGCTGGAATGCAGTGACCACCCAAGTTCTCTCTGGCTCTAAAAGTCTGAACGAGGAACGAAGGGGTATGAACCAAAACAGTTCCTGACCTTAAAAATGAGGATCTGATGATGACGGGGTCTCGTCCCGGGACCCACAGGTTTTGGCCTATCCTGGAGGCACACTTGACGTTTTGAGATCGATCCTTGCTGCCTCTCTCAAAGTGGGGAGCCTCCTGGCTCGCTTTTGGTCTGGAAGCCATCAGCCCCCTTTGAGTCACAAAGTGCAGCCTGGCGTTGCCACTTGGGCAACCCCCAGCCACCCCTAAATCCTCAGCACTTTACCTGCCTTCCCTGTAGGTTAGAGATGTCCCTTGAAATTTAAATACCCCTTGAACCGCAAGTGCCCCCTGGCGATATCTGAGCAGCAACACACCCTCACCAAGGTTTGCACAGGGTTTAGTGGGAAATTGTCGCTCGTGGGGCGTCTCCTAGTTCTGTGGCCCCAGGTCCCAGACCTTGGTCTACACAGCTGTGCATTTAATTTGTGTTGCTGAGTTAATAACCCTCAGATCCCGGAAGACCTAGCCAGCTTCTGAATTATAAATTTGACTTTTTTAAAAAAAGAGCATCTATCTTTTTTGCAAAAATAGAAAGAAATGGGACAGAGCTCTGTTTAGCTTTCCAACTCTTTACAGTTGGGCAGCTAAACAGCCCTTTGGTACCAGTGAGAAATATTTTGCTTCTTAAATTATTTGGATAGGAAGCTATAGTCTTAGCTTTGTTGAGTATTATCTGCCGAGTTTACCTTGCTCTGAGTATTTATTTCCAAATCATCATCACCATCTTCCTGGTCATTCAAGTCATCCCCACACACACACGGACATGCATCACCGTCACTGTACAACCATTGATCGTCACCTTCAGCCACCTACCGCTGCCCCCTTCCCTCATCATCCTGAGTCAGAGCACGACTATCATCTCCTCCAGCTCTCTGTGCCCCATCCAAGCCCCTGTCCCCATCGCTCCCGGTCCCCAAGCCCCTCCCACCCCTGCCCCCTTGTCCCTGGTCCTCTGCAGGCAGAGGCCTGTCACCCCTTGAGCCCTCCCACCCCCACAGCTCTCGCCCAAGTCCCTTCCTCACCCGCCTGCCTCCGGGCAGTTTATCCTCAATCCCAAGACCCTGTCACCCTTGCCCACCACCGCCTCCCACCCCAAGCTCCCGTGCCCCTCCCCTTCCTACCCTCACGCCCTGCTACCCCACCCTTGGACTCGGAGAGCGCCCGCCCCACGTCCTTTCTCCCCCATGTCATTCAGTCATCATCTCGTCTCATCCTGAGTTCGTTTTGAGAGATAAAACATTTTAAAAGACAAAAAAAAAAGAACCGTTGGCATGGCCAAGAGGGTGTCTGGCACCCCCGCCTGGCCTCTCTCGCGTGAGACCTTGACCGAGTCTGCTAACTGTTCTGACCCAGTTTCCCCAAACACAAAATTCTGAGATTGGCCCAACTGATTCGATTCTCGTTCCACTCTTTACATCTCCATGCTGTCAAGAGCAGCTCGTCTGCCCCCCGCATCCCCTCCCCACCGACCACAAGGGAAAGCGTCCCAGTGTCGCTCCTCGACCCCCTCCCCATCCGCCCACCGACTCATCCTCCATTCATTCGATCAGGAAGCATTTCCAGCACCTGCTGCGTGCAAGGCAGCGTGCCGGGAGCTGTGCGGCTCGGCTCGCAGGATGAGGGCAGTCTGGTGGGGGGAGCGGACACGCCCGTGTCCCCAGGAAGCCGAGCAGTGCAGGTAAAATGCCGTGGGAGCAGGGGAGTCCTGACCAGACGCCCTTACAGCCTGACCATCGTACCTTCCCACGTGACAAATTATCTCTTACCAGCACACGACGAGGCCACCCCACCCAAATTCCACCATGCCCACTTGCACGCATCCCGCGAAATCAGAACGGTGTCCACAGCCTCGACACGGTCTTCACGTCATGCAGAAATGGCCCATTCCATCCTCTATGGGGTAACCAGATTCTGCTGAGAGTGTCGGGCTCCTTGGCTGCCCAAGCGCACCTCGTGTGTATTTGGAGTAGTGTGCAGTTTACGAAACAAACGGAGAAGCTCAAAGACAGCTGTCGAAGACGCGACCACCATTCGGTCCCAAAATTGAGAGAGGAGGAGGCGTGATGATCTTTTCTGTAACCAAAACATTTCAAAAATGTCAATGACGCTCTTTTTAGCTTTCCCGTTTCCTTAAACCAGACAAGCAAAAAATTTTGTTTATTGAAAAATAAACAAAACCCAAGGGCTATTGGTGTGTTTCTTTGATTTGCTGTGCGCCGGGCTACCGCGGTCCCTTCCCGCTGGCGGCCTTGACCCCGAGCAAGCGGGGTCAGGGGCCCATGCTTTGGAGGGCTCTGCAGGGGCCCAGGCTGGTCCTTCCCACGAGGCGAGGAGACCACAGGCTAAGGGCTGAGCACTCCCCTCCCCCCGCCTCTTCCAGATATACTCTGGGTGCCAAGAGCGTGGATATTTCCTGCCCAGTTGGCCCCAGCTCTTCCTTGGGTCTGTTTATAACAGTGGCTGTGAGTGGGTGGTGCGGAGGGAGCTGGGGCTCCAGGGGGAGGGAGGAGGGACAAGGGGTTCCACACACAAGTGGGCCAGAGGCGAGGGTAGGCTCTCTCACCCACCAGGTTCCAGCCCAGAGCTCCTGGGTAGGGGTCCCAGAATGGCACGCTGTTCTGGTCCTTCCAGAACTTAGTGAAGTTGGCATTGGATTTTGTTTGCTAGTGAGAGGGACTCAGAGGCACATCAGTATACAAGCCCCATTTAGACTCCTGGGCATGGGCTGGGAGGGACCTGCCTGTCTTACCACCCTGGCCTCGGGCCACAGGCTTGCACACTCAGTGCACACTCAGCGCACACTCAGCTCACCAAAGCCACCCTCTTGAGTCCCGTGGAGTGCTGACACTGCTCAAGCTTGCCCACCCCGCCCCCTGAGAGGGGTCCCCTGGACCCTTCCTCCTGGACACAGGGGCTGCAGTCCCGTCCCTTATCCCTGCTGGCCCAAGAGGCCACCCTGGGGCAGGGTCCCTTCCCCTACTTCCTCCCACCGCCTGTCCCTGCCCTCCAGGGCTCTCCTCGGCCAGGCCACTGCCAAGGCCGACCCGGCTGTCCAGCCTGGATCCGGGTGTCCCTGAGCTACCTCCCTCCTCCTCTCCCACCACTTCTCCCTTCTGTGCTGCTCTGCTCTCAGCTGGTGGGTGGGGGTCCCGTCAAGGCCGGGGACATGAGAGGGACAGACCGGGGGCTCCAACCTCAGACATGGAAGCTATTCTGCAAAGTGTAAGAGAAGAAGATAATGAGGCTGAGGTAACAAACATAGAAACTTCTAGGAAAGGGATGAGTTTTCCAGGAGAAATAACAAAATGTGGCCAGCAGGAAAGACCAGTTACCTGGAGGAGACCCCCAAGGTGGGCCAGCTGTGTGTTGCCCGACTCGGGCTCCAGAACCTTTGTCCCTTTGACAGAAGGTGGTGCCTGAGCAGAGGCACAGCTCCAGAGCAATGAGGAAGAAAAGATGAAGACTTCCCAATTTTCTCTCTCTCTCTCTTTTTAAAAGATTTTATTTATTTATTTGGCAGAGAGAGACATGGTGAGAGAGAGAACACAAGCAGGGGGAGTGGGAGAGGGAGAAGCAGGTTTCCCGCTGAGCAGGGAGCCCCGTGCGGGGGTCGATCCTAGGACTCTGAGATCGTGACGTGAGCCGAAGGCAGAGGCTTTAACCCACTGAGCCATTCAGGTGCCCCTTTTCAATTCTTTTTCAAAGCTAGGTGAACCCCAGTGCTCAAACCTGACAAAGTCAATGGAAGGAGAGGAAAGCCACTCCCAAACAGAGGAAAGGAAAGTCCTCACTCCCAAACAGAGAGACGAACGTCCTCAGTGAAATAACAGAAGCAGGCAAAAACAACTAAAAAAAAAAAAAAAAAAAAAATCGTGCCCAAATAGAGCATTTTCTGGGAAAGCAAATATAATTTAATATTAATAAATAGATTCATAGGCCGTGAACCCTGGAGAGGCCCCAGGAGGGAGGAAACTGTGGCAGATCACAGGTGGCCTGGCCCGGAGAAAGCCCGATGGACGGTCCCTGGCTGATTGATCAGGGCTGGAAAGAGGAGTCTGACCTTGGAAACTCGGTGCTGTGGTGGGGGGTGGGGTGTGCAGAGGACCCCAAAAGGGGGAAGGCCCAACCGTGGGGCAGCTGGGGTCAGCATGGGTGACACACATCAGGAGAGGCTGTGGCTGTGAGGGGTGACCCATGGTGCGCCCAGTGCAGAG